CAAAGAGGCTCAGGGACAGCACCCAGGCCCTGAGTTCAAGCCCATGACTGACCCCCCCAAAAAAGAGTTAGAAGTACTATGGTAGAATGCTAGCTTGAGTAGAAAAGTGAACAAGAGTAAGAGGCCCTGAGTTCAAGCCCCAGTATTGCAAAAAGAAAAAAGAATGGCAATTTCTGTATCGTTCTTAGAAGAAACAGAATCAGAAATACAGGCACAAAGAACAAAAGTGTCATTTTCAGTGGCATGGTAAAACACCTGTCTCGTTTGTACTAAGTCCTGTGTCAATTCCCAGCAACACTAAAGGAAAAAAAAGTACTCTGAGTTGAACAACTCTGTTAAACTTTTTATACTATATGATCGATGTTATAAGTCTCCTCAAATACCGATATATCTGGAGTATTCCAGTGGTTGCTTTAAAAAAAAAGTGAAAGTGGCATCTAAACTATTATTCATTTGGGCATGTGTGTTAGTACCCAGACAAGAACTCAGGACGTGGCTGTTGCTTAACTTTCTTGCTCATGCCTGGCACTCTACCACTTGAGAATGCTATCAGTCCTATGTTAATATTTTGACGAAATCTTTATTTAGGTGGGGGTGGGGGGAGGACAGTACTGGGGTTTTAACTCAGGGCCTTGCACTTCCTAGGCAGGTGCTCTATCACTAAGCAATAACGCCAGCCCTTTCTTCTTGCTCTGGTTATTTGTATGTGCTAGTATATAGGGACTTGAAGAGCTTCAAACTCTCTCTAGCCTTTTTTTCCCCCACAGCTGGTACTCTACCACTTGAGCCATGGTTTTTCAGCATTTTACTAGGTAATTGGAGATAGTTTTTGCATCTTGATTCTCCACATTTCAGCCTCCTGAGTAACTAGGATTATAGAAGGGAGCCACTGTCTCCCAGCTATGCTCCCACATTTTGATCAGGGTGGAACCTGGCTGCAACCCAGGTGCCTGTAGGTTGTTCTTTTGTTTTGCTTTGCTTTTGACCCACTAGCTTGACACTTCTCATCCTAGGTGGAATGACAGGTGTCTGTCACCATACCCAGTTTCTTCCATTGATGGAAATACCAGTAACTCTTCTGTCCAGTCTAACATGGAACCATAATTCTCTTGATCTCAGCTACCCAGGCAGCTAGGATGACTGCATACAGCAATTGACTGAGAAGGCATCTTAAGTGCATGTTCAGACTGGCCTTGAACTGCCATCTTCCCAAACTTAACCTTCCAAGTGGAGATGATTACAGCACTTAGCTATGACTTTTTTCTTTAAATTGGGGATAGGGGAGTACCAAGGCCTGAACTCAAGGCCTTGTGCTCCTACTCCATTTTTTTGCTCACAGCCAGCTATTCCACCATGTGAGCCATACCTCTACTCTGGCATTTTGCTGGGAGGGTGGCTCAGTGATAGAGCGCTTGCCTTGCATGCATGAGGCCCTGGCATTTTGCTTTTTAAAGTGAAGATAAAATCTCACAGATTATTCTGCCAGGGCTGGATTTGAATCAAAATCCTCCTCAGCATTCTGAAACTAAGATGATGGGTACTCAGGTTGAAGAAATATTTTTACTGTGTTTTGCTTTTTCCCCTTCAAATTGTATTTGAAGCTGGTAACAGAAAATTTAGCAATTACATTTAGCTTAAAATGTTCCCAGGTACTGCTAGCACACATCTGTAATCCTAAACTACAGCCTACTGAGATCTGAGGTAGTTTGAAGCTAGCTACAGCAGAAAAGCCTTGAACTCAGGCCCTGAGTACAAGCCCTAGGACCAGCTTCCCCAAAAAAGAAGAAAAAAAATCGTATTTAGGTAGTTTGAGGTATGGCTCAAGTGATACAGTGCCAGCTGTGAGTAAAAAAGCAGCGTTCCAGGCCCCAAATTTAAGCAATAGTACTAGCATGCACACATAAACACACATGTGAAAATATACCCTTAGTTGGATGTTGCTGAGGTATGCCTATTATGATCCCAGCTCCAAAAGAGGCTGTATGTATCAGGTTGGAGAACTGTCTCAGGCAAAAATGAAAGACTCTACTTGAAAAATAACTAAAGAAAAAAAATCTCTTAAAATCAGGTACAATGCTCAAAAACCAAAAATAAATTTAACGCCGGGTGCTGATGGCTCACACCTGTAATCCTAGCTACTCAGGAGGCTCAGATCTGAGGATCTCAGTTCAAAACTAGCCTGGGCAGGAAAGTCCATGAGATTCTTATCTCCAATTAACCACCAGAGAACCAAAGTGGTGCTGTGGCTCAAATGGTACAGTGCTAGCCTTGAGCTTAAGAGCTCAGGGACAGCTCCCAAGCCCAGAGTTCAAGGCCCACAACTGACAATCACTCAGTCAATCAAGCCCTGTGCCTGTGGCTTATGCTTGTAACCCTAACTAATCAGGAGGCTGAGATTTGAGGATAGTGGTTTGAAGCCAGCCTGGGCTGGAAAGTCTGTGAGATTCTTTTTTTTTTTTTTTTTTGGGTCCGGTCGTGGGGCCTGAACTCTGGGCCTGGGCGCTGTCCCTTAGCTCTTCAGCTCAAGGCTAGCGCTCTACCACTTGAGCCACAGCGCCACTTCTGGCTTTTTTTTCTTTTTGCTTATGTGGTGCTGGGGAATCGAACCCAGGGCCTCAGGCCTGCAAGGCAAGCGCTCTACCACTGAGCCACCTTCCCAGCCCATCTGTGAGATTCTTATCTCCATAAACTACTCAAAAAAGCCAGAAATGGTGCTGTGGATCAACTTGTAGAGCACTCACCTTGAGCACAGAGAGGCTCAAGAACAGTGCCCAAGCTGAGTTCAAGCCCAAGGACCAGCAAATAATACATAAATAAATTTAACTTACACAGAAATTTGCTTAGTTCTAAAAATTCCCTCTAATGATGAGAAAATGATTAGTCACAAAAGTTAAGTCACAAAGCAAATGAGAAAATATTATTCAGCATGTAGGCCAAAATACAGCACCTCAAAGCTAGATTTTTTTTTGGGGGGGGGGGAGGGGGGTCCGGTCGTGGGGCCTGGGCACTGTCCCTCAGCTCTTCAGCTCAAGGCTAGCGCTCTACCACTTGAGCCACAGCGCCACTCCCGGCTTTTTTCTTTTTGCTTATGTGGTGCTAAGGAATTGAACTCAGGGCCTCAGGCATGCAAAGCAAGCGCTCTATCACTGAGCTACCTTCCCAGCCCCAAAGCTAGATATTTTATTTAAAGCAGTATCACTGGAACCTACTTTTAATTTTTATAAGAAAACTAAGACTGGATGCTAAAAATACTTCCCTACTCACTGAAGAGAACTGTGTGTCAGCAAAACCTCAGATTTTGAAGAATTCTGATTAATGGTATGTCCAAGACTATCCAGAAGTAATTTCAAACAGCACCAGTAGATAGTAATAAAATGCATTTTATATATTTATATGTTTACATTTGGAATATCTACAAATTACAGAAAGGGGAGACATGTTTACTATTTTTTGATAAAATCAATAAACCTTTGATGTCTCTTTTGCTCAGTCTTAAAAACTAATGTCTATAACATACATACAAATAATTACAACATAAATGTTAAGAGCTATAGATAATAAAATACTATCATACAACTACTTTATTGATACAACAGAAACATGAATTTAAAATAAAATGTATGCTGTTGAGCTAAACATGCTTAGTTTATCAAAGCATAGCAACATAAAACTTGCTTCTGGAAGCATGGAAGTTGTTAATAATTCCAGTTCCTGTTTCATCAAATCAAGTCAATTCTAAGTTTCTTATAATTTAACCTGGAGAAATATTAGATCTGAATGAAATACGATTTATGTTATTCAAGAGTAATTAAATACACTACAAAGACAAGGAATGTGGCTTAGTGGTACAGTGCTTGCCTAGCATGCATGAAGCCCTGGGTTTGATTCCTCAGAACCACATAAACAGAAAAAGTTGGAAGTGGCACTGTGGCTCAAGTGGTAGGGTGCTAGCATTGAGCACAGAGGCTCAAAGACAGTGCCCAGGCACTGAGTTAAAGCCCCAAGCCTCCCTTCCTCCTCCCCCAAATAACTAAAAAAAACGGTGAAACTATTTTAAGAGCTTGAAATATATACATTGCCCCTGCCCCCTTCATTTTGAGCTGAGTGTGGTACAAGCCTGGGTGTGGTACAAGCACTCAGGAGGTCTAGGCAGGACACCAGTTTGAGGCCAGACTGGAATATGTAATGTTTCCAAGCCAGGCTGGACAACATAGTAAATCTTCACAAATAAAGGGCACAGCATTTGGGACACATCATTTGTAAATATTCTGCCTTATCATGCACAGCCTAAATCAACACAGTCATGAGAGGGCTCCCCAGCCGCCCCCCCCCCCCCTTACCACGAGTTTACAGTAGCTGACCTGGCTGTGATACTGCAGTGGCTGTAAACTGAGTAGCCCAGGGCGGATTCTTCTGTCCTCCAAACTGAGCCATGATGCAAGGGGGAAAAAAACCTTCACTGTTTCTCTTCTATAGCAGCGATCTATTAAGAAAGGATCCATGTTTCAAAGTTCAACCTCACCAAAGGGTATCTGGAATAGTGTATCAAGGACATCCTCAATAGAAATAACTATAACATTTGAAATAAGGCAAAAAAAAAAAAATCTTTCATCAACTGAGTCGCCAAAAGTACTTTAAAAAAAAAAAAAAAGTATTAAGGGGGTAGACTTCAAAGAAAGGTACTTCCCTCCATGACTACAAACCATCACATTTAGACAGAAAACCATCTGCCGTTATCTACCTGGTGGTTAGAGTTTTATATAGGTTGCGTGTTTTTCTCTGGGCGAGGGATTGGAAACTCATCCAGTTGAAATGAAACCAATGAAGGGAAATTGGCATGAGACACACCCACCCCCAAATAAAAATAGAAGACCATTTTAGTAACGATCATCTCTACTTTCTGGAGAGGGGAGGGAGGGAGGGGGTCACCATTAAGGGTCTTCTTCTCCCCCCCCCCCCCGCCCCCGGCTCCTCCACTGAGGAGAGGTTAAGGAAAACGCATGCGTCCTTCAGAACCCTCGGAGAAGACCCTCTTCCTCCCCAGGAAGGAAATCGAGCCCAGAAACCGCGACGCTCTCGGTGCGGGCATCTCCCGGCGTGTTTGCCACCACTCCCTCCGACCGACGCGCAGGAGCGCGGCCATCCATCTTCCTCCGGCCCCAGCTTCCTGCGGGCCAGGCGCAGACCCGGGAAGAGGGGATGGGCCGCCCCAGCTTCCCGCCGGGGGAAGCGCTAACCCGGGATACTCACAGCCCGGGACTTGGCAGACGCCAGGCCTCACGGAGCGCCTCCATCCCCGCCACCCCAATCCCGGCGCCTCCCTTCACCCCTCCCCCGCCCCGGAAGCCGCCGGGCTAACACCTTGTCCGTGCGGACGAGACGGAGCGGCCTTCGGGGAGCGAGGCCGAGGGGCGCGGGCGGCCGCGGGGCCCGGAGCGCGGCGGCGGGGGAGGGGAGGCCGCGCGGGGCCTGCTCCGACCCGCACAAAAGGGACCGCGTCCCTCCCGCCTCGGTCCCACGAGAGCCCCGCCGGCGCCGGCCTGCGGCTACTGGGTCACCAAAACCGGCACCCCCAACCCTTCTGAGCATCCGCTAAGATGTTAGAAACCTTGGCTCCGCCACCCGTTGCTCTAACCACACGTTAACCAAACCTTCACCTGAGTCGAGTCCCGGCTAACACCGAAGCCATTTCAAACCCGTCAGCCGCGCGCGCATGCGCCAACTTCCCCGTCTCGTTCCACGCCGTTCCCCCACCCCAGCAGCTGAAGGGATGACGCTTACGGCCTGACGTCATACGTGCGCGCTCCCCGGCTCGCTCTCCTGAAACTCGTCCCTCGGACTACACCGCTAGAATGGGAGCGCGCCTGAGAAGTTACCTTGGCTTCGCTGAACAATGGGCGGCGACGTGCCTGGAAGCCCGCGCTGAGGAAAAAGCCTGGGAAGGAGACAAAATGGTGGTCACGTGACCTAGGCAGCCCGTCGCCATCTTGTTTTGTTTCAGCTACAATTAATTGAAAAAATATATGATGACAGCTGCTGTTTACATTGAGATATAATACATTTTAACACACAGTTCACCATATATCATGTTGGTTGCTTTAAAAATGCTGTTTTGTGCTTGTAAAGGGAGTTTTGTGTCCTCACCATGATGAGCTGCTAGGCCTCGACCTCTTGGGCTCTTGGGCTCATTTCGCCTTATCCTTCCTTAGTAGCTGGGATTATGGACGTCTGTGTCCGCTGCACCTGCGCCAGGCTGGAATTTCTTTGTCGCAGTGGGCAGGGCAAGAAAACAGAGAAACCACATTTTGAAAGGTGGAAGCGGGAGTCTTTTTTAAAAGGCTGGCCACTGCATGTCTCAAAGACCAGAAGCCAACACATACACTTGACACTGTTAGGAAATTGAACCATGAAGGCCGGAAAGGAAAGAAAGAACAAAAACAATACTAACAAACCAATTCCAGGGCTAGGATCAGCTCTGATGGAGAGCTGAAGTGGGACACCAATGGTAAGCAGAGAAGAAACAGGAGACGGGACGCGATCACAGAGACATGTGCATGGTGTCAAGGTGCCTGGGCTGCTCCAGGCCTAAATAGGGTCTGGTCAGGGTCACAGGAAACTCCAGTCCCAGGCACAGGACTGACAGGTTTAGTAACCTATAAACCAAGCCCCAGCCCCTGCCTTCAGGGATTCGGGCTCACCTATCATCTGAGAGGCTGGGATGTCACCTGCCCTGGCCATGAAGACAAGATGTCACACCCTACCATCCACCATGTGGCCAAGATGGCGCTGGCCAGACCAGATCTCCTTAGTGGTAGTACAGAAGTTTGAACTCAGGGGCTCTAACTCTGGCAAGCACTTGAGGCACACCTCCAGCCTGGCCTTTTTGCTGTTTTTTTTTTTTTGGAGACTGAGTTTCATGGACTTTTCTTCCCTTAGATGGCTTCAAACTGAGGTTTTCCATAGGGCCAGGAAAATCAGGGAGACTCTTATTTCCGAATAACAGGAAAAAAAAAAAAAAAAAAAAAAAACAGAAATGGAGCTGCTGCTCAAGTGGTAGTGTTAGCTGAGAGCAAAAAAAATAAAATCCCTCAAGGACAGCGCCCAAGTCCTGAGCGCAAGCCCCAAGACCCAACATACACACAAAGTCTCAAAGGAAATACCCTAGCAGTTATCAAAAGTAACAAATTATAGCCCTGGTCACTTATTTTTGTAAACTAAACTGGATTCTAAAATAATTCTAGGGGGCTGGGAAGGTGGCTCAGTGGTAGAGTGCTTGCCTTGCATGCATGAGGCCCTGGTTTCCATTCCTCAGCACCATATAAGCAAAAAGAAAAAAGCCGGAAGTGATGCTATAGCTCAAGTGGTAGAGTGCTAGTCTTGAGCTGAAGAGCTGAGGGACAGCACTCAAGCCCAGAGTTCAGGCCCCATGACCGAACTCAAAAAAATAATAATAATAATAATACTAGGCTGGAAATGTGTCATAGCAGTATAGTGCTTGTGTAGCATGCATGAAGCCCTGGGTTCAATTCCACAGTACCACAAAAAGTACCACAAAAAGTACCAGAAAAAGCCAGAAGTGTTGCTGTGCCTCAAGTGGTAGCCTTGAGCAAAAGAAGCACAGGATAGTACCTAAGACCTAAGTTCAAGCCCCAGGACTGGCAAAATTAAATAAATAAATAAATCTAATTTCTTCTAGTATTGAGTTATATCATTTTTTTCCCCTCCCTCCTTTTCTTATGTAGTTAATTGAAGAGTCTCATTGACTTTCCTGCCTGGGATGGCTTTGAACCTCAATTCTCAGATCACCTCACCCCTATAGCTAAGATTATGGATATGAGGCACAATTTTTCAGCTATTAATCTTTGTTTTTATTTATTTTTATTTATTTATTTTGGTGGGGGAGGTCCGGTCATGGGGCCTGAACTCTGGGCCTGGGTGCTGTCCCTCAGCTTTTCAGCTGAAGGCTAGCACTCTACCACTTGAGCCACAGCACTACTTCCGGCTTTTTTCTTTTTGTTTATGTGGTGCTGAGGAATCGAACCCAGGGCTTCATGCATGCAAGGCAAGCGCTCTATCAATGAGCCACCTTCCCAGCACCTAATCTTTGTTTTTATTTTCATAGACATTTACCTGATTAAGCCTAATGCAATAACTGCACTTGTATAATCCAGCACTCTGAGGGCTGAGACAGGAAGATTGAGTTTGAAAACACCTTGGTTTACACAGTGAAAAAGAAAATTCACCTCATGCTTGATGGCTACAACCATGGAACAAAAATCCTCACCTACTGAAAGCAAAGGAAGGATATTGTCCAAAAACAATTGAATTGCACTCATTACATGACTAAGTGAAATGGTAATGCTCTTTCTATGCAACACCTTAATAGTAATGATAAAATTATATTCTAAAAAATCCTCTAGGGCTGGTTAGGTGGCTCAGTGGTAGAGTGCTTGCCTTGCATGCATGAGTCCCTGGGTTCCATTCCTCAGCACCACATAAGCAGAAAAAGCCAGAAGTGGCTCTGTGGCTCAAGTGGTAGAGCTGAGGGACAGCGTCCAGGCCGAGAGTTCAGGCCTCACGACCAGCAATAAATAAATAAATAAATCCTCTACTAGGCTAAGTGCTGTTGGCTCACATTTGTAATCTTAGCTTCTCAGGAGTCTGAGATATGAGAATTGTAGTTCAAAGCCAGCCTGAAACTCTTACCTTAAACTAAGGACCAGAAAACCAGAAGTAGGGCTGTTGCTTACAGTGGTAGAGCACTATCCTAGACCAAAAGAGATCTGGGACAGTGCCTAGGCCATGTTCAAGCCCCAGTACGGAAAACATTAAATAAATAAATAAATAATCCTCTCCTACAACTCTCCATAGATAATCTAGATAGTCTTTAATGAACATTAAGGCTCAAGGATTAAGGCTGGTGCCTACCACCCGAGCCACAGAGCCACTTCCAACTTTTGTTGGTTAACTGCAGGTAAGCTGATAAACTTTTCTGCCATGGCTGGATTTGAAGTGGCATCCTTACATCTCAGTCTCTTAAGTAGCTAGCATTACAGTCCAGTCACTAATAAAATTCTTTTTTTTTTTTTTGTCGGTCATGAGCTTGAACTCTGGGCCCGGGCGCTGTCCTTCAGCTCTTCAGCTCAAGGCTAGCACTCTACCACTTGAGCTACAGCTCCACTTCCACTAATAAAATTCTTAAAACGAGTCATGACAAAGTGGAGGTATAACTCAGGTGGTAGAACACCAGCATTGAGTGAAAAAAAGCAAGCAAGAACCCAAGTCCCAGGGGCTGGGAAGGTGGCTCAGTGGTAGAGCACTTGCCTTGCAAGCATGAGGCTCTGGGTTCGATTCCTCAGCACCACATAAGCAAAAAGAAAAAAAGCCGGCAGTGGCGCTGTGGCTTAAGTGGTAGAGTGCTAGCCTTGAGCTGAAGAGCTGAGGGACAGTGCCCAGGCCCCAAGTTCAGGCCCCATGACCGGACCCAAAAAAAAAAAAGAACCCAAGTCCCTGAGTTCATGACCCAGTACTAGCGCTAAATTAACAAATAATAAATATTATGGAAGTGGAAAATTTAATAGCTTTACCATATAGCAAATACCTTCCACACACCCCACAGAAACAGGCTACTACATTGATAGCAAGACAACATAGGCCCAACTTAAGTCTAAGAAAGTGGTAGACAGTGTTTTAGCTGAATGTTGAGTCCCTCCTGGAAGAAGGAAGTTGATTTTAAATCCTTTAGTGGTGCACAGAAATAAAACCCTCAATTTTTAGTGAATTTGGCTGTTTCTGCTTTTGCTCTAAAAACTTCAGAGAAATAGATTTTATTCTTGAAATGTGAGACCAAGCATGGAATTGAATCAAAGTTTTCAAAAGGCCACAGAATTCTGCCCCCGCCCCTCTCCATGTTGGATTGAACCCTGGGCTTTGTACATTCTAGATCAGTGACTAGCATTCAACTACATCTCAGAGTTATGGAATATTTTTTCCATCATTGAGTAACAACTGTTATGTTGTTTTGTTGGCAGTACTGTGGATGGAATTTTTTTTTTTTTTGGGTCCGGACGTGGGGCCTGAACTCTGGGCCTGGGCGCTCTCCCTCAGCTCTGAAGGTCTGAAAGTCTCTGACTCTTATCTCCAGTGTCACCAAAGCCTGAAAGTGGAGCTGTGGCTCAAGTGGTAGAGCACTAGCCTGGAGCAAAACTGCTGAGACAGCATCCAGGCCCTGACCAGTGAAAGAGAGAAGGGAAGAAGGAAAGGAAGAAAGGAAGGAAAGAAGAAACAACAAGGGGGGGTAGGGAGGGGAAGAAACTGATCAAAACAGGGAAACAAAACCCTAATGGAGAAAGGCTAGTGATTCTAACAATGTTTTCTACCTTTGTTTTTTTCTGTCTGGAAAGAAGGAAAAGAAAACAAAGAGGTTGCTTTGATTTTCTGAAGGTCTAAGGAGCCTCCCACCTTCCCAACCCCCAGCAAGTTTTCATGAAAAACCCTGGTGCTGGGGATTAAACTAGGCCTCAAATATTCACCAGCTTTTTTGCTCATGGGTGGTGTTCTATCACTTGAGCCAAGCCTCCAATTC